GGCAGTTCCCACCCCAAAGGGCCTTTGCTGGGTCCAGCCGGGACACGGCCCCACGGGGACGGGGATTAGTGGGAGCTGAGCCGGGGATTAGCAGGGTGAGGCTGGGGCCCTGGTGACATGAGGGACAGGGTCCTGGGGGGGAACTGGGGACACCTCCATCCAGCCCCCCTCCTTGTCATATCCCCCCGGTCCCACCACAGGAGCGTGGATTTCCTGATGGACTCCAGCCTCCGCAAGCTCTATGGGGCACCGGGAGAGCCCCCGGCCCCTCACTGACCTCCCCACCCTGGGGACACCGAGACACTGCTGCTGTTGGGGTGCTGTGACCCATCGACTGTGAACCCTCGCTCCGGTGACACCCCGGAGCGGCCACCCTGCCCCATGGCTGGTCCTAATAAAGCATTTCAAGCCCGACCCAGTGTTGGGTGGTGCTTGGGTATCGTGACCGCCCCAGAGCTGGTGGGGACCCATTGCCATGTCCCCTCCATGGGTCCAGCTACATCCCAGCCCCTGAGGGATCTCCACCCCGGGATGGGGGAGGTTCCCTGCAGACTCAAAGCCTCCCTGGTCACCCCACCAGCTCCTAGCTGGAGCCCACCCATCCCTCTGCAGTCACTACCAGCCTCATGGACCATCCTGGGGACTGGCTCCAAAGGGCTGCCACCATGTCCAAGATCTTCAATGGTGCCCCCAGGGACCCAAATTCCCCCCTGCCATGGGCCACCACCATGGGCTGCAGATGTGCCACCATGCCTGGAAGCCAGACCTAGTAGTACCACCAGGAGACGTGGCTTCCAGGGGTGGTGGCATGTCCCCAGCCCGTGGTGGCATCTACATGGTACTGCCAGGAGAAGCTTTAGAGAAAAGCAAAGCACCTTTTATTGGGGAGGAAGGAGGTCACCAGCTCACACCGAGCTCTGTGCCAGGTTGTGGTGGTCTGGACCCACCTCACCTCCTTTCTTCATCTCCCTGGGGGCCAAAGCCTTCACCACGCTCCGCAGCTCGGCGTGGAAGGGACACTGCCGCCTCAGCCGCCGCTGTCTCCGCCGGCGCCCGCCCAGGCGCCACGCAGCCAAGGCCAGCCCCAGCAGACCCCCCACCAGGGTGGCTGCCACCAGGGCGCTGCCCACCAGGGCCAGCCCGGCCAACAGGAACCTCTTCACTGTGCGGCACGGCTCTGGGGACGGCAGAGAAAGACAAAATAAGGGGTTCAGAGGTCGCTTCGACACCTGGGATGGTGGCTTTGGGGCCATGGGGTGACATTTGGGGTTGTCCGCTCACCTTCGTACCATGGCACCTTCTCCTTCTGCACCAGCAATGGTCCAACTGTCTCCCAGTGGGGTGTCCCCTCTCCTGGGAACCCTGCAGAAGGACACAGCCCATAAAGCCTGTCCCAGACCCAGTAGCCCCCCAAGATCACATGGGGCCATCCCATCCCATCCCTGGTACCTGGCAGCTCTCCGGGGAGGGTGTCACCGGGGGGACAGCCGGTGTCACAGCAGTGGCACAGGGCGCTCTGCGAAGGGTCCTCTGCATTGTGCCAGCTGCGAGGAGAGGACAGAGCTTGGGGATCCAGGGGTTCCCCCTCAAGACCCATATGGTGCCATGCCAGCAGGTCCCTCCAGCTCTGCAGGTCTTGGCCACCCCAAAGGGGTCTTTTATCTCCCATCAGCACCTCCCCAGTGCACCTGCACCCAGAGGGGCCCACCAGAGCTGGGATGTGCAGTGATGCTACCCTGCTATCAGGGGTAGAGGTGGCATCTAGACCACAGTGGGGTGGCTTGGTCCCCCTGCCCGGTGGCTTCTGCTCCCAAAGCAGCCATGGGTGGTTGGGTCCTGGGCCACCATGAGGGAGCCTGTGCCAGGGCTGAGCGTACCTGTCTGTGGCTTGGCTGTAGAAGCAGGACCTGGTGCCATGTCCCCGGGTGCCCACGGGGCCCCACGCTGTCAGCAGGCAGTGCACGTAGACCTGTCAAGCCATCAGCCCCAGGCAGGGCACGTCACCACCTTCCTCGAGGACCCTGCTCTCCTCACACCCAACCCCATGGGGCTGAGACCACCCCAACAGGGAGCAGGATGCCCCAGGTCATCCCCAGTAGGGCCTCCGTCCCACCACCAAAGACATCACCCCAACCTCACCTCTTCCTCCTCCATCTCATCCTCCAGGACGGGAGCTGGGATGGTAAGCTGGAGAGTAGACACCCCTCTCCGGTGTTGGACAGACATGGTCACCAGCTTCTGCCCGTGCAGGCACCTGAGCCAGGAGAGCACCACAGGGACATTCCCAGGCTGTCCCCAGGCCCTGGACATCCCTCCCCATCAGAATGCCTTGCAGGACCTTGGGGTACCTGGAGAGGTAGTTCCCACCTCCCACCCAATAGGCACTGACCCCCGGCTGTTCACCACCATGAAGATCCTCCTGGAGTGCCCCAGCTGCTCTGAGCTAGTCCCGTAGCACTGGTCCACAGAGATCTTCAGGGAGATGCCAGGACTGAAGTCAACCCTGGCCTCCAGGTGGACAGCAGAGCCAGGTCTGAGCACCAGTGGCTTCGTCATGGCACTGGGGTCCCCTAAAGGAGAAAGGAGGGTGGGCTCAGCATGACATCCTCAAGCCTGTCCCACCGCAGATGGATACATCAGACACGTGCCAGACCATCGCCCATAGGTGTCTTCGCCTGCACTCCTGTGAGACAGGTACCTGCCTGCAGCTCCCCAGCTTCAGAGCCCACCCCCTGTCCCTGGCAGCCAAGAGCTGTCCCGGCTCTGTCACCCCAGTCTGGCTTCCCTGCCTGCTCTCCGGAGCTACAGCACCTTCCTGGCCCTCCCTGTGGAGCTGAGAAGGACCACCATCACTCATCAGAATGACAAGGGGCAGCTGGCCTCCAAAAAGCTGATCACGGAGTCAAGCACAGGATGGGGAACATCTCAAAGCCCTACACCCTCCACAAGACTGGGATGGATGGTCCTGCAGGGATGGCCACCTTCTCTGGAGGGCCCTAGCACTGAGGCCACTCATGAGAAAGCCCTGGGTGCTGACAGTCAAGCCCCGGGCTCTCAGTTGGACCCATCCTGTGGTGTCATCCCCCAAAGTTGGCACCCAACACAAGACCCAGAGTACTCACTGTTCAGGAGCCTCAAGGTGAACTTCATGCTGGGCTCCTCAGGGTGTGGGTGAGCACGAGCCCCACCAGGCATGGTGGCAGAAGGAAGCACTGGGCCTGCAGACCTTGTCCCCACAACCAAGGACATCACTGAAGCCACCACTGTGTGATCAGAGGACGTTGAAGTATCTGGAGCTGTGGTGGTCCCTGCAGCAAGGGAAGGGTTTAGCCAGTGGGTCTGAGCATGCAGCAGCTGGAGGAGCATGTCTCAGGCATGGTGGGGACATCCAGGTCCTCAGCTCTCCCAGGGACTCATGGGGGGCAGGTGGCAGCAGCACAAAGGAGAACAGAGCACCCAGCTCAGCTGGGTTAAGACACATTGGGGTGCTCCTTCATCCCCAGCTCCCCCAGCCTGGGCCTCCCCCAGTCTTGGTGGCCAGGCCCTAGCACAGGAGTACTGCAGTCAACTGTGGTGGTGGGTGCTGGAGAAGGTGGTGCTCCACAACCCTCCCAAAGTGCCAGGTGAAGTGTTCCCCAGCCACCTCAGCACCCAGCATGCCTGGGAGCAGATGGGCTGCACCAAGAGCATTTCCCAGTACCGTGACCCTGGCTGAGGCTGGGGACAGACCAGGAGCTGCTCATGGGATGGGACACCGTTGCCAGCAGCTCTAGTCACCACCCACAAACCAGGTCCCTGTTGGGACCTGGGGGCACAGGTCTCTCCTAGCAAGCCCCCTTGCTCCAGCCCCACATCCCCAGAGCACAGGGCCATTTTAGGGGACTCCTCTCCACCAAGAGGATCTGCACCAGCAGATCCAGGAGGGCACCAAGAACCAGCACCAGGCTAAACCAAGAGGCACCCACCACCCTCCTGCACCCAGACATGGATGCCACCACCCACCTCCCCCAGTAGAGCCAGTGGGCAGGACTGAGGGGAGCAGCCAGAGGGTCCCAGCTCCACTCACCTGCCACCCCCAGCGCAGCTCCACACACCAGCACCCACCAGCACAGCCCCATCCCCAGTGAGGAGCAGCAGCAGCAGCTCCAGCCCCACCACCTGGGTGCCTTTAAAGGACCAGGGCTGGGTGTCAACAGGCCCCAGCTGGTGCTGCTGGGTTTGGGGGATTTGCTTGATTTTCTGCAGCCAACCAGCAGTCCCAGCGTGGGGCTGGTCCCACACACCATCCCCGCCCCACCACAAGGATCTGCACTCGTTGCTCAGTCCCCTTTCCACCACAGAGTCTCAGTCCTACCGCTTGGGTCCCGTAGGTGGCCCTGGTCTGAGCAAGGTCCATGTCCCACTGCACGGTCCCACATCCACCATGCACAGTGATGGTCCCACCATGTCATTTTGGTCCTGCATCTGCCCCTGGTCCAACCGGTTTGCCCTGGTCCCAGTTTCTCCACATGGTCTGGACCCACCACTCAGTCTTGGTCCCAGGGACGTTCCTAGTTCCACCTCATAGTGTAGTCCCATCTCATGGTCCTAGGCTTTCACAGTTTTGATCCCACCACTCAGTCATGGTCCCATACATGGTCTTGGTCTCCAATGCACTATCATTGTCCCATTATGGTCCTACTTGCAGCCCCGGTCCCACCACACATTCCTGGACCCATAGTCCCAGCTTGGTCCCGTTTATTGAGAACAAAAGCCCATAAGAGGAGGCTGCCATGTGCTGGGACAAGGGACACCAGCAGGAGGACTTTCCTTCCACCCTTTGGATCTAAGCAAGTGCAGAGCTGCTGCTCCCCACCCCAGGGCTTGCTGTCAGCCGCTCTCCAGGAAGGTGGTCCTGGGGACACAGGTAGACTGGTCAGGGGCAGCAGTTTGGCCACAGCCAGGACAGAGACCTGGTGAAGTGCATGTGTCCGTGAGTCCTGTCCATCTCAGGTGGCCCATAAACCCTATCACAGCCTTCTCTGCATGGGCTGACCTGGTGGCATGGGCACAGAGGGAGATGAGACATGTCCCCATGGGGACGTCATGCCAGATGGGCTGTGCAGCCAGCCTCTTGCCTCGCAAGGTGCTTTTCCATGACCCCATCTGCAGAAGGAACCAGTGGCTGAGGGGGAATTTGGCCCCTGGTCCCAACAGGAGACCTCAGCATGTCATGGGAGACACCTGCGGACCTCAGGGAGGTGCCCCAGGCTCTGTGTCCCCAGTGCCCATCCCAGTGTCCATGGGCAGCATCATGCATAGTTGAGTTGGTGGCCCCAGTGGGCGCCCACACCAATACCGCCAGCAATAGTGCTTCGGTTGGAGAAGCACCAGTGCAAGTCCTGGGGCGACCCTTGAAAATGGGCTGCACCCACCAGCAACAGAGCCGGGACCTGGTGGCATGAGTGAGTTGTGTCACCCGTGAGGGCTGTCCCAGGGGTCTGGTGTCCCTGAGGAACCATGGTGGCACCACTTCCTGGTGGCATCTGCACACTGTGGAAGCCCCATGCCAGCACAGGCAGCTCTGCAGGGACAGCAGGGACAGATCCAGGCCCCCACTCACACTGGGGGTCTTGTTCCTCAGCACTGCCCAGGGGACATGGGGGTCCCCACCTCCAGGACTGACAGGGGGAGCAGAGCCGGGACCCCCAGGGGCTGTGGGGTCATCCCCGTGGGCAGAGCAGGATCCATCCCTCGGGAGGAGCAGGGACTGGGGTCCCCGTCCCCCACCCCCTGGAGAAGAAGGAGACAGGTGGAGACCAGCTGGATAATTCTTATATTAAAAACTGCCAAATATACAGTTATTTTACAAAAGTAGAATTGCTTTTTTTATTTCTGGGCTTTACAAAGGGAGCAGAAGGCGGGCGGGGGGGCCGGCGGGGGTCCCTCTGCCGCGGGGGCAGCTCAGCTGCGGGTGCCACCGCTCTGCCCGGCCAGGGCCGCTCTCGGCAGGACGCGGCGTTGCCGATGTCATCCAGCCCGGCTGGGACGCCTGAGGGCTGTCTGCCCCACGGCCAGGGGGACACACACACACACCTCGTCCTTGGCATTCCCCCTGTGCCCGAGGGATGGCATCACTGGGACGGCGGCCACCGGACCCTGCTCTCCTCCTCCCCACACCAGTTCTCACCAGACCCCATGGACCTCCCGGGATGTCCCCTGCAGGGACCAGGGCCCTCTAACTGGGACGATGTGGGGCTGGGAGAGGACCTGCTGCATGGCCACCCTTCACCCATGGGGGCCATGAGCCTGCTGATGAAGGCGGGGGCTTTTGGGGTGGGTTTTCCATTCTCCGGGTGGCTCCGGGTGGCAGCCCGCCAGGGACCGATGGCTGTGGGTGGGCTGAGAATGTGCTGTGCTCATCACACCCATGGGCTGGAACCCGCTGGAGTGGTGCAGCAGGCCCTGACCTGCAGCCCCAAAACCAGGGCTCAAGGGAAATGGGGTGATTAGAAGAGCTCCTTGAGGTTGGGGTTCCCTGCCACCACCAGCAGGGCACATCCCTGCCCGCACCGCCACCTGGTGATGGATGTCCTGCTCCCGCTGTGACGAGGCCACGTCCTTCACCAACACCTCCTCCTGCCTTTCCGTGGGGAAGGGAGAAGTGGATCCTGCTGGAAAAAACCCACCCCCAAACCGCCAGTCCTGGACCCCTCAGAGGCAGGGAGGCTCCGCTCCTCCTGCTGGTGGGTGACATTGGTGTCCCCTCCAGGCCCAGGTGGAGGCTCGGCAGGACAGTGACAGAAAGTCCTCCCAGCGTTCCCGGGTGCCAGAGCCTCTGGCCAGTTCTGCTCACGTCCAACCAAAAGACACCATGAAGTAAGAAAAAGGAAAGCACCTGGTTCTTCCCTGGGGGGAACGGGGTGCCCACTGTCCCCTACCACTTCAGGAAGTCCCGTACATGGCTCCACAGCTTGGTGATCCAGAGGTTGACCCCCAGGTCAGTCAGGTACTGGATTTCTGGCGTCAGCATCTTGCGGCACAGCTTCTGGTGCTTCTTGTTGATCTTCTTCTTCAAGTTGTAGCCCAGGATGGACTTCTCCCCCAGCGGCTGCCAGGGTTGCATGGAGGATTCTTGGATGGCGCTGGCATCCACAGCGTGTCCCCCGTCGATGCAGATGCTCTTCATCTTCTCGTTCTCCCGCCGCAGCTCAGCCACATCCTTGGCCATCCGCTCCCTCCCGTAGGCCTCCACTTTACGCCAGAAGGTGGCATTAAAATAGCGGTAGAGCTTGGCGTCGATGAGATTCCAGGACGTGGCTTTCTCATAGAGCTCAGGTGTCAGCCGGGAGACGGTGGAGCCCTTCCGCGCGTTGAGCTTGAAGTAGAGGATGTCCTCCAGCTGCCAGCACAGCAGGTCCTTCAGCAGCACCAGGGACTCATCGAAGTACTCGAGCAACATGACGAGGTGGAACCGGCGGTCTATCTCCTGGATGTGCTCCTCCACCAGCGGGCTGTTGGCGTTCATGTTGTTGTCGTAGCCCAAGTCAAAGAAGAGGAGGTTTTGGAGGTAGTGAGCGTTGAACCCGTTGGGGTCATAGTAGTGCCAGGGGTCCCGGAGGAACTCTGCCAGCTTGTCCTCCCCCGTCAGCTTCCACGTGAGGGGGATGACGCGCCCAAAGTAGTGGAAGGAGGACTCGAAGAGGTAGGCAGGGTCCCGCAGCACCGTCACGAAGGTGGCATCTGCCGGCAGGAGCTTGCGCACCTCCTCGTAGTGGAAGCGCATGTGGTTGCAGATGATGTTGAAGCAGGCGCCCGGCCGGTAGTGCTGCACCTGGCTGCGCTCGAAGTAGGAGGGGTAGTAGAAGTCGTTGCGGCCGTTGGGGAAGGCGAATTTCAAGCGGTGCTTCTCCCCAAAACGGAAGAGGATGTTGAGGATGGTGCTGCTGGCTGTCTTGTGCGTCTTCATGAACATGATGTTCAGCTTGGGCAGGCAGCTCCCTCCCGAAGGGCTGCCCGTGCCGTTGGCCGCTGCCAGCGCCTTGCCGGGGGCTGGGTAGGAGGAGCAGGAGGAGGGGACAGGGATCCTGGTGGGGGGAAGATACAGGAGGTCATGGTGAGGGCAGCTCAGCCAACACGGCCCAGACACCATGAAGGTTCACCCATTTTCTTTCCTGGAGGAGCTGAACCTGGGGACAGGTTTTAGACCTGGGGACCGTTTCTGGACCTGGGGACAGGTTTTGGACCTGGGGACAGGTTTTAGACCTGGGGACCGTTTCTGGACCTGGGGACAGGTTTTGGACCTGGGAACAGGTTCTGGACCTGGGGACAGGTGCTCACACCCCCCAGGTTCCTTGTCAGACACAAGCCCTGTTTTGGGCAGAGCCCTCTTCACCATCAGCCACATGCCCAGTAGGACCAGGGCACCCATCTGGCAAGAGCCTCTTGGCAGGACAGAGCTCACCACCACCACCCTGACATCAGGTGCACCTCCAAGCTACCAAACCAAGCTCATTCACCCCTCGGACAACCACTGCCACGGAGGATGCACTGCTACAGGGGTCCTCATGGTGGCCAGTCTCCACCAGCATCGGCACAACCTGGGCAGGGGGTCCCCCATCCCTCCCCTCAGGCACGGCCATGGTGGTTCTGGTGCAGGTGATATTGAGATGAGCTCTCTATGGCCATAACTCCACAAACAGGAGCTGATAACGTTCTTTTGAGGTCTGGAAGCTCTTAAGCCCTTGTAGGAGTTGTGAAGGATCCAGCATCCAAGTAGAGGGACATAACTCTAGAGCACGGCCCCCAGACGAGCTCACAGGCCCTTGGGAAGCAGCGAGAACAACTTGTATGTTATCTGAGATGCCCAGAGCAGGGAACAGAGGCCCCAGTGTCAAGTGACTTTGGACACCATTAATGAAGTTGCAAAGATGATCCTTGACAATGCTCCCCTCTGGCAGTGCGGGGCAGCGCGGTTCAACACGTAGCTTATGGAACTTCCACAGGTGGGATCTCTTAGGTAAGCCGAGACATAAATTTAATGCCAGGAGGCATTACTGAGCACTTGCTGCAACAGGTGGCAGAGAGCTTTGAACCTACCCGTGCCCATCTCCGTGGGTAAGAGTTTACGTGTGATAGCGCTCTGATTACTTGTGAAGGACAAGGCCTTGATAAAGAGTGCCTGAATAACTGCCCACTGCTCCTGGCTGCCGGGGAACCTCTCCCATGGCGCTTTTCCTTCTCCCAGGAAACATGAACCTGCACCTCCTCATCCCCTCCATCAGCCAGGAGCTGAGTGCCAGCTGCCGTTGTGCAGCAGGCCCCACAGGCTGAATGTCCCCAACTGCCTGGGGAGATGGGGTTCACCTTCCCTCCCACCCATGGGACAGGTGCAGTCTCCAACAGGAGGCTGTAGGAAGGGCACATCTCGATGTGAAGCCACCAGAGCCTGGAAAGCACCGGGACCATCTCTGTTTGGGGGTGCCAGATGTGAAACAGGGTGGCCGGGCTGCCAAGGGGACACACACGTGGGGACCCCACACTCACTCTGTCATGCTGACTTGCAGCGGAGGGATGGCATAGGAGTAGAGCAGCAGCATGAAGCTGGTCAGGAGGGTCCCCAGGACGAGCCCCTTGCACATGGACCTCCAGTGCTTCCCATGGTGCAGCATCCTGGTCACCTGCAGCCAGCAGAGAAGAGAGCCGTTAGCAGTGGGGGACAGGGAAGCGGGGACCAGGGGGTTCTGTGTGACTCAAATGAGGAGCAAAGAAGGCATTAGGACACCTCATGGGCATGGAAAGTCCATGAAGTCCATGGAAAGTCCCAAGAAAGGAAGCATCTCACCGGGCTTTTCAGCACTGGCACAGCCAGGAGAGAGGTGAGCCAGCGCCAGGCGTATCCCGGGCACAACGGATGTGTGCCCAAAGAGCAGCGTCGCTGCCTGCCCCGCGCACCATTGGATCATGTTGAGAAAACCTGGACCGACTCCCTGGCCCAGCGCAAGGGCAGCCGGGGAGGCCGTGGGGCTGGGAATGGTTGGTGAGAAAGGAGTTGCGCCGTGGGGCAGCCCGGCTGCAGAGTGGGCAACCTCTGCCAGGCAGCACCGAAAAATCACCGACACCGGCAGGCGCTTCCCAAGGGCACTGGAATCCCTTTTCACAGAATCACAGATTCACAGAATCTTCTAGGTTGGAAGGGACCTTAAAGATCATCTTGTCCAACCGTCAGCCTAACTGACAAAAATAGACACCCACACAACAAACAAGGAGCATCATCACTAAACCAGACCTCCCAGCACTACATCAACCCGTCTTTTGAACACCTCCAGGGATGGGGCCTCAACCCCCTCCCTGGGCAGCCCATTCCAATGCCTGAGAACCCTTTCAGTGAAAAAATTGTTCCTAATATCCAGCCTGAACCTCCCCTGGCGCAACTTGAGGCCATTTCCTCTCGTCCTGTCGCCTGTGACTTGAGAAAAGAGACCGACCCCCACCTCTCTACACCCTCCTTTCAGGAGATTTCCCAAGAAAATCTCCGTGCTCCCGAATGAGGGGCTGGGGAAGCTCGGGATGTGCTGGGTATGGTGCCATCCGCCCAGCGTGGCTGTGCCCGCGACTCCCAGCCCCTCCCCAAGCTGGGGAGCTTGGTCCCCTCTGGACACCCTTGGGTGGGGGCTGGGGGACACAGAGCTGCTGGGGAAGGGGGTCTGGGGCGGGATGACGCCCCCACATATGTACCAATGCACATTCATACACATAGGTGCATGTATGCACAGGGGCATGCACACAGCCAGAGGGTACGTGCACACACAGGCACACAAACATCCACGCACACACGGATGTGCATGTATACATCAGGACACACACCTCACACACGCCCCTGCACACACACATGCACCGTGACACAGACATACACCTCTGCATGTTCACGCGTGTGAATGCACACACGGGCACACACTCCTGTGCATGTTCATGTGTCCACGTCCATGCATGGACACACACACTCACACATGTGTATGCACTCATGCATTGCCCTTGCCAAGGACACAGACACACACATGCATGCACACATGCGGAGGAACATGTACATACATAGGGACACAAACACCTGCCTGCCCCCACACACATCTCGGCACACTCGTGCACACGGAGACACATATATGTACACACATATACACACACCTACACCTCATGCATGCCCACGTACGCTCAAGGACACAGACACGCATGTATGTCTATAAGTGCTCATGCATCCACACACAGGCACATGCATGCACATGCATGCACTGACACATGCACACACATGCACACACGCACACAGACCCTGCAGCAGCCCCCCCCCGCCCAGTGTCGCCCTCCCCCC